ATCCTCAGAATAATAATAGCAAATTATGAAACACCTTATAACCACTGCCTAATAATAAACTAAAATGTAGTTAATATACAGAATCTTAATACATCTGGTTCTAATGTATGTATCTAAGATATGGTTGTTTTCTAACACATATGAAAACTTAATTTTTAATATATGAGGTAATGGTCCTCAGAAAATACCTATTGGCTCAATAAACTAGATTGAAGAAATCTGATATCATTGATACAACTTCCAGCTATAAAATAACTACAAAAAGTCGCTGAAACTAAAGTAATAATTACTGAAATTCATATGAGACGCCTACAGTGGGCAAACGAAGAGACAGGCGAAGGTTAAGTCGAAGAGATGATTTAGATACGAATGCACGAAAATCGGTGTGGCCAACTAACATTAAGTAGAAAGGAATGTCAATAAGTTTAGAACTTAGAGAACAGTCAAATCTCAGATTGGGTAGTAATACCAACGATGATCATATTTTATAAACACCTGATTTTTAAAATTAGAGGCCTTCAATACGTTACGATACTTGTAAATGTAATATATTTTATCATATTTCTTAGTTTGGTTTAGTATTTCTTATAGATTCATTTGATTGATAATTGTTATACAATTTTTCTATAACTTATCGGAACTAAAATTTCTTTATTATCAAAATATTTCACACTTTTGTATTACATATGGAGAGATCGATTTGTTAATATTTTATGCTCCATGGATTATTTCTTCTTTATTTCTGTCATGTAGTTACCAATCGAAGTCCACTTTTTTTTCGTCTTTCTAGAGGGGGTGTCTCGAATTTTCAGAAGACATCTCAGTCCAGGTCGCCGCCTGACTAACCTTAGTGCGGGATTCGTTCTTCGTACTCCCAGCGATAGTTCCTGAAGTACTTTAAACTGCCCTCTCGTTGCCAAGTCTACGCCGAACACATACCTGCTAAACCAGACCCTCCTGTGTCATTCAGCGATCCGGAAGCGGAATGGCCGCTGTAAGGTCGGCATCACTTCCAAAGCAATACCGGTATTCATTCATTCTCGGCATCATTGCAAGACGGGCATTTCCTCCTTCCCCACATTCTGACTCACGCATTCTAACTCATACAGTCTAACCCACTTTTCTAGCTTTACCTTTAAACATCTTTCACTCTTACCTTTGCCGTTGATCCAGCTGTCTTTCTATCTCTTCCTTTTTCTTGCTCACTGCACGGATATAGCTGTGTATGTTAGTACAACCTAATTTATTTTCAATCATTCTCTCAATCATTTCTCTCACTGTAAAAAAAATCACACCTGTCTCTCTTTTCATTCTGTTTCTTTCCACTATTCATCGTCTGCAATCTAACAGCGTATGTGTCACAGTGTCCGAGTATCCACAGTATAGGCATTCATCTGTGTTAGCCTTTCTGATTCTATAGAGGTAGGCCGTGAAACACCCGTATCCTAGGGCACCTGCGTCAGGAAATAATCCAGTCGCCTGTGGCCACAGTCCACCCAATCTCTTATGTTCGGGATCAGCATTTTCGTGCACTGTGCCACATCCTTCATGTTGTTCCATTCTTTTTGCAATCTTTTAATTGACCTTTCCCTTTCCTGTCTTCTCTCGGCCACAGTAAGGTTTAGACCTCTTCTCTCATAGAGCTCTTTTCTTTCCACTGCCAAAATATGCAACGGACCACATCCAGTGATGGTTCATAAGGCTGCCGCAAACACAGTCCTATAGGCGCATGCCACTCGCAACAGACTTGTTCTATCCACTCGTATCATGAGACTCCTATAGGCTTTTATCTCAACCGCCTCGCTCCAGACTGGTGCCGCGTAGAGGACGATCGACTGTACAACACCGTGTATGACCCTCCTCCTTTCAGATTTGGGTCCTCCGATGTTCGGCATCACCCTCCCCAACGCAGCCGCACTATTCGCAGCCTTCCGAACCACCTCCCCACGTGCTCCCTTCATTTTACATTCTGGTGCCATGTCACTCCTAGATTCTTTACTTGTTTCTTGGTTGTTAGACATGCTCTCGCACATTTTAATTCAATACTTTGCCTGTTCCTGTTCCCTACAGAATAATGACTTCGGTTTTCTCTGCCGCAAGTTTCAGTCCGTGCTGCGTCATCCATTTCTTTACGACGCCGCCTGCATTTCGAACTCGGTATTTAAGATCTGGCTCATCCCGGACCACTAGAGAATGCGAAGGGGGTTGTACCCTCTCCGTGTTCACGATGCATAACCCCGTCATATGTCAGGTTCCATAGCGTCAGGCCCAAGACGGATCCCTGGGGTTTCCTGGCCGTCACGTCCACGATCGTGATCTTTTTCACCATAATCCTTCTCTCGGACAGATACTCCGCCACCACATTCATCAAGTAACTAGGACATTATCTCTCCTCCATTGCCTTCATTAACTCGTTCTGCTGTAGCGTATTGAATGCATTCTTAACACCAAACAATAGCAGGGCCGCCCAGCGATGTTCATCCCCTCTGTTGCGCAATGCTTTGAGTGCACTCATGATTTTCCTTTACAAAAACAAAATTGCCTTCGAGATAAATCACCTGACCTCTCAATCGTGTCATATATGCGTACTCGCAGCATCCTTTCATACAGCTTACAGATGCATGGAAGAAGGCGATACTTTCCCCTAGCTTTGGGAAGCAGTATTAACCTCGATGTCTTCCAAGGCTCAGAAAAGGTGCTTCCAGCAGTAAATTCATATGTTCCAAAAACCACGCAGTCCACTTAAACTAAAATTTTGTTACATTTAATTGTATTCTGGTACAATGTAAAAGGAATTACAGTTGGACGTTGTTAACAACACAGTGTACAATTGAATCAACTGTTCAGCGCATAAAAACTTGAAAATAAGCAATGATAAAACTGTTTGAATTTTTGAGTAATTTCTTATTTGCTAAAAATACTTGTGTGTGTAGAGGACATTGTCTTCGGACTTGATCTATTACGATAAATTTTAATTACAACACTTATCTTCTCTATGATTCTATCGATTCATTATAATTTAGTACTGCTCAAGATGAAAGTTAAAAATCTCAATTCTCCCAAATTATGCTTTTTAACATTTAGCTCATTGTGCCAATCACTCCATACATCTTAATAGATACGTACTAATAATTAATGTACCGTTTTCTTCTTCTATAAAAGGTACCTATCTTCTAATGATGTTGGCGACCACATTGACCCCCTATCTTATTCTATTCACAGCAGCTCGAAGTAGATCAGTTGACGCTAGACCAGTTCATTTCCTAATATTCGCTACTCAAGATATACGTCTACGTCCAGGGCCCCTCTGCCACTTAATATTGCCTTGTAGACTCAACTATAAAAGTAGATATTTACTATTACGCATAATGTAACCGAAGTAAGCCTATTTTCTGTTTCCTCCTGAGATCGCATTTGTTTATCCTGTCTTTCCATCCATCCCCACTTAGTTCGTGTTCAATTACTTCTCAACTGTATTAGTCCATCAGGTTTATGATCACCCTCGAATTATTATTTTCTCAGGATTTACTTGGACTACTAGTCTCCCCTTATTATTGGCAAGTGTCATATGTTTAAATAAAGAAACTAATTATTTTTGAATACATGGAACTGGACAGACGCTGTGTAATATTAACATACGCAAGAATACATACATTTGTTCTTCTGGCTGTCCAAGGAATTCAAAACATTCTTCCCCAACAGCACATCTTAAATGCATCCTTTCTTTTCCTATCTGCTGTTCTAATGGTCCACGTTTCTAAGACACAGCTAAATATTTGCGTGCTGATTTCCTTTAAGTTCTGTCGGCCATCAAGTTTTGGGTCTCTGCTACTACTTCATTTTCTCATCTTTTCGTGATCTACATTTACAATTTCTGTTTTGCGCTTCATTATCTAGGACTCCTCTTAGCAATCTGTATCATTCATACTCAGTTCAAGATCATCGAAGTATCTGCAGTCTAGCGAATTCTGAAATAAATGTGTCTTTGAAAAAATACACAGTTGTGTTTGGATCTTCAATTACTATTTTCTCAGATTGGTACAAAGATTTACCCTCATATTTTTCTTTAATAAATAATAAGAAATATTAGAAATAAATCAGTCAGCAGAGGTTTTGTGGCTTTCCAAAGCTCTTTTTTTTAATTTTGGCGTTTTCTATATGCTTCAAATTTAATTCGACTTGTAAATTTGTAAAGATGTATTTATTTTTACTTCAAAATGTTCTTGCAATCCTTTTCTGCTATGTTTTTATTTGGTACATCATCGTTAGTATTTACTTCTTTTTGTTTATATCATATATGTTTGTTGTAAGTCTAAAATTGTTGATGTTATTTATCATCCTAATTCTGTTTTTGAACATGCCATTAGATCTTCTAAATCATCTTACAGTCTTCTTCTTAGAGTGCCTACTACCTAGGGAGGTTGGCAATCATAATAGCTATTTTTATTTTTGAGCTTGCTGCTCTAAACAAATCAATCGATCTGCATTAACACCAATCACGTAGATTCTTTAACCATGAGCTCTGCCTTCGACCAACAGATCTTCTTTCTTGAATGTTTTCCTGTATTAAGTGTCTCAAAATTTCATATTTTGGTCCCCTCATCACGTGGCCTAGGTATTGCAGTTTTCTGGTTTGTATAGTGATTAGTTTTGTTTTTTTACCAACCCTCTCCAGTACTTATTTATTTGTAATTCTATCAGTCCATGATATTGTTAATACTGGTTCGATATAACCAGAGTTCGAAAGAATCGATTCGTTTTAAATTGTATTTTTTTAATGCCCATGTCATGTTTTTTTAAGTCTCAACTCCATATAATAACATTGAAAATATATAACAGCGAATGGTACGTAGTGTGTAAAAGTAGAGAAAGTGTGTAAAATTAAATATAAGACATAGCTCGCAATAACTCTTGTACATTTTAAATGACAAATGTCTTCCATGTGCACTTTTGATTCTAATAAATAAACAGTTTAACATGGAACATTATTTTTCTTTTAGGTGGAGCAGGCGGCGCTGGTGGCGCTGGCGGCAGACCAGGCGCTGGTTCTGAAATCCCCATAATTCGTTATGAAAATAACAACAACGGTGATGGTACCTACAACTATCTATACGAAACTGGAAACGGTATCAATGCTGATGAAAGTGGTGACGCTCGAGGAGACGGTACTCAGGCTCAAGGTAAAATATTATTATTTCTAATAAAGAATTTAAATTGAATAAGATAAATTCGTGTCTTTGATATATAGTTTACAGTGAATTAAGGCAGCTAGCTGATTATTCATTTTTAGGAGTTATGTACTTATTACATAACTCCTAAAAAAATTATCTTTTCTTTTTAGTATTAATGTTTTAAAGGCTATTTTTTATTATTTAGTGGAAAACAAAACATTAAAATAAATACAAAATAAATTTTAAACTAAAATAGCTTTAGAAGAATGTTATTGTTTATTGATTCACACGTGTACGAAGTCATTCTAATATGAAATAAATTCCTCTGCATATTTGTAAAAAAAAATGTGTTTGTCTTTAAGGTTCATTCAGTTACACATCTCCCGATGGTCAACAGATCCAAGTATCATACACCGCTGATCAAAATGGTTTCCAACCCCAAGGCGCTCATCTTCCAACACCTCCCCCAATCCCACCAGAAATCCAAAGAGCTATTGATCAAAACCTCGCTGATGAAGCCAGAGGAATCGTTGATGATGGCCAATACAAACCTGGTGCAGATGAAGGTCAAGGTGGATACTCAGGAGGTCAAGGTGGATATTCAGGTGGACAAGGTGGATACTCAGGTAGTGGACAAGGGGGATATTCGGGAGGTGGACAAGGGGGTTATTCTGGTGGTCAAGGAGGACAAGGAGGATATTCAGGAGGACAAGGAGGACAAGGAGGACAAGGGGGATATTCAGGAGGACAAGGAGGACAAGGTGGATATACTGGGGGTGGTGGCCAGGGAGGACGAGGTGGTTATTCAGGAGGTGCTGGTCAAGGTGGAAGAGGTAAATCAATGAATTAATAGATAAGGTTAAACCATGCTGTAAAACTTAACTATATAAATACAAATTTTTTAATTAATTTTAGGTGGATACAGTGGCGGAGCAGGTGGAAGTAGAGGTGGAGCAGGAGGTGCCCCATCAGGACTTTATGGTACTCCAGGAGCAGGTTCGGGACAGCGAGGACCCGACGGATATAGATATTAAGAGAGAGGATGCTAGCTTGCCATACTGATTAGTATTTTATTTTATAGTGTGTGAATTTTGTACTATACATTTTGTAAATAGAAACTTTTATTTTAGGTAAATAAATATATACATTTTTATAACCTCGTTTTAATAAAACTTCTTTAAGATACCATCATATATTATCATACCATCGTATATATATATATATATATATATATATATATATATATATATATATATATTATATATATATATATATATATATATTTATATATATATATATATATATATATATATATATATATATATTATATATATATATATATATATATATATATATATATATATTATATATATATATATATATATATATATATATATATATATATATACAAGAGTAAGAAAAAAGAAGTACTTGTGACTCGTTTGGAAAAAATATAAAACTGTTTTGGATGGGTTGGAGTCAATAAAAGGGGCTACTTGTGAACTATTTTTTACTCGAGCTTTCAATTGTGTTTACAATTATTATCAAGAACTGCTAAAAAATACAAAATATCTTACACAGTTGAACTAGAAATAAAAAAATTTTGTTAACTCACCAAATAAAATTAGTTTTGTATACAAAATTGCTGCTAACATATTACAAAAAATATTAATACAAAAATGTTCTATTCTAATAAATGTTTCTCTAAAATTTTAATTTTGAAAAAGTTTCTTAACAAAAACAATTGAATTTGTAAATAAAATTGAATAATTACAAATAAGCCTCAATGTCATAAATATCAACTTAAAAATTTTTATCTTTGACATTTATATTGTCAAAAATAAAATTTTGTTTAAAAATTCTTTTTTGTTTAGTAACAAAAAAGAAGAAAATTTATTCACCATTGATAGATGCCTGAAAAAATGTAACCAATACATGGAAAATTAAATCAAAATGTGATATTTTACGGATTGCATATATAAACTACATGAAAATAATATAATTAAGTAGCCCCTTTTATTGACTCCAACCTATCCAAAACAGTTTATATATATATATATATATATATATATATATATATATATATTATACATATGAATTGTTGCGGGAGGTTCACGGTACTTCTTCTTACAAGTGCCTTGTCCTATGTCCTGAACTTGGCGACCACTATAGCAAGAGTCGCTTTAACACAACACTTTTTGTTCAACCCTCCTTGTGCTTGTATATTCTTGAATATTTAGGACCCATCATAGTTGATTTCTTCCAATTCCCATCGGCCTTCGATAACACATAAGTATTAGCTGTAGCAACTTTCATTTTTCTGCTCTCAGTACTTGCTTCAGGTACGCTATTTTCTGCACTTTATTATGGTAAATAATTTTCTCTGAATATTAGCTATTTATAGAACATACTCGTATTGTTACATAAATGTAAACACATCTTGAATGTTTACGATACACAGAATCCAATCTTTAATATAGCCCCAGAAAAAGAGGTCGACTTTATTCAATTCTAGTGATCTAGCTGGCCAGTAAATTGATATTTCTCTCTCTATCTATCTGTTAGATAATTCTTAATTCCATTCACCTTAAATAAAGAGTTAAGATAATAATATTCACCGACTGAAAGAGTTTTTGTAAAACGTTGATTCATATCTTCGTCTTTTTTTTTGTTGTATCCATTTACATAAAGCCACCCTTCTTTTAAAATCATTAGCAGCCAATTCTTAGGATTATTTGTCATGCCATATTATGATCTCACTTAGTGAGAGCGCCCACCAAAGTGGCGTGGCAGTGGCAAGTAGCAAGTAGCACGCGTCTAGCATAATGTAACCAATCCTAACGAATGATTAGAATGAATGACGTTACTGTCATTTTGGTGTAAACTGAATCATTCGTTTTCATTGGTTACATTATGCTAGACGCGTGCTACTTGCTACTTGCCACTGCCACGCCACTTTGGTGGGCGCTCTCATTTAGACTACATAATACACGAGGCATCGCTGAAGATCGCAGACTAGCAGCTGAAGATCCACAAGTTGCTCCACGAAGCTTTTGAATAATATTGTTTCTTCTTCTTCTTCTTTTTTTCTCTTTATAATTTGTGGATAAATTCTCTAATATTGGCGGAGGAGATTACGTCTATCGAAGGTTGTCACTCCATCTTTTGCGCGTTTGTCCGATACTTCTTCTGTCGATTGGTGACTTATCTCTAGCTATTTAGGCAAAACGGGTCTCCCCCATTCTGTTTATGTGGTTATTTCATTCTTTTTTTCTATTTAGTGTTCATTAATTTATACACTATACGTTTCATTTTCTTCTAATATCTTTACTTCTCTTTCGAGCTCTCAGCATATTGCCTGTAATTCTTCTCATTACTCTCATTTCTATTGTTTTCTGAGTCCTTTGCGTTGTGGCTGTGTCGGGTCTTGTTTCTAAGGATTAAGTCATTATTGGTCTTACACTGGCTTTATAAATTCTTGAATTTATCTCAGTGTTAATATGTCTGTTTTGCATGCTTGTGTGTTTTGCCATATAGTGTTATTAAGGCATCCTGCCTATTTGCGTATTGTACTTGATCTTTCACTTCTTTGTTCAGGTCTCCACAGCTAGACAGTGCAATTCCAAGGTATTTTATTTCCATTACTTTTTGATAATTAATAATAAATATTATTGTTTCGCGTTTAAAATTTAGCAGAGACTTTTTCGATGTGTTTTTTAAGGCAGATACATATTACGGTCTAGTATAATTCCTAGTTATTTAGGATATCGATTATAAAGGCATTTCTGTTTTATATTGAAACGTGATGCTTAATTCTGTGTATCATTTTTTATGCAATTGAAAGAAGCATACACTCGTTTTACCAGCATCAGGATACCGTCTTCATTATTTAAATATTCTTCTGTAGTTTCTAACCTGACGTTAAAGTTTCTTCTGTGGTTTCTCTGAATTTATGTCTACTCTTAAGGATTATATCGTTAGCACAGCAAACATGACGCGGACTGGTATATAGAAGATCAAAAATCTACATGTTGAAAAGAAGTAGTGCAACGAGTGAGCCCTATCAGACCATCGAATTTCAATACGAACTTCGACTACGATTTTGTACCTTATACCTTTTTGTATGCTGAAAATGTCACATAAGATAAGCAAAAAAAGGAAATAAGTTGAACCACTGCGTTTTTTTGAAAATCGAATTTTCATAATTTTCCACAACATTTCCAAGATAGAATTTTTCTTTTTTACGACATGCCATCACGATTTTTTGTAGGTTTCTTTATCATAACAGCTAACAAACTCTTAAGTGGCATGAAGAAAAAATTCACGGACGTTGACTTAAAAGTTTTACATGTTAAGGTCATAATTCACACCCCATATATTAACTAGCCCTTATGCTAAAATATTTGAAAATATAATCAATACTCAATACTTGATACTGTTTAATTCTGTTAAAAACGTAAAATCTTACATACATCAAATATATACACAACCTTTAAAGTTAAAATTATGTTGTAGATATTCATAAATTTTTTAGGAATTTAAAGGAATTTTTTATCAATATTTTTTTAATTTCATTTTTAAATTCTTTTTCAGTCAAGTTTCTGATATTCTTAAAAAGAACAGTAAACCATTTTTTTGTCCAATACCCTAGTGACCCAATATGAAGTGATATTTAGTACGTAAAGCCTCTAGTGAGATGCATTTTTAAAGGTTTCTCAAAATGCGGAGATTTGTATTTAGTTTTTTGCATAAGTTATTAGTATGTGCGTCCCAGTTTAATTTTGGGTCCAAAAGAACTCCTAAACCCCAATACATCTGACTTTATCGTTCATATCATCCACATCTCTTATTGTGAAAATCAGTTGTTTAGTTTTATTGTTGTTCAGAACCAATCTATTTGTATTAGAGTAGAAATAGCTTGGTATTACAGAAAACTACAGTATTCTGGGTACTCTAGGTACTAAAATATATAACACATTCTCTATCGACAATACCACAGCAACCCTCACAACCTGCACCCTATCTTTCAGATATGATTTTATGAGCTGAAAACTCTCAAAATAAAAGTTATATATTTTTTAATTTCTTCAGGGGGATCTCTAGTTAAAAACGACTGAGTTAAATTAAAACTTTAAAGTTTTGAAGTTTAATATACTGTCATGTTTCTTCTTTCCCAACCAAAGAAAATTAAATAAAAAGATCCATCGGAATAAAATTTTAAGATATCAGTATAATCAAATTGTATACAGTAATTTAGGATAAGATTTAGTGTAGATAAGAATAGAAAGTTGTTTGGCAAACGACCTTTTTCCGTTTTCAATAAAATTATCAAAAAACGTTTTGTTTAGAATTAGAAGACATTTTACCTGTAAGTTAATCTTTTTATTGTTTGTATAATCGAGTAGTAAATGACCATATTCTAATCTTTTGAAATATGTATAAATTGTGTATTGACAAAACCAATTTTAAAGTAAGCTATTTAGTTTTTCTCTGAAACAGAAATTAGGCTTTTCCAAAATCATGGTAAAAACAATTTGAGCTTTTGATTGAACGGTCGTTTTTTGAATGGGAATTTGTGAGCCGATCAGGAGTACCGGAGAAGTTAGTTATAATTTGGTCATCGAAGGAAACATTCGTTTGTCTCAAGATAGGGTGTGGTTCGTGAGTTGGATACCGGCATTGTGAAAAAGAATTGAATAGTTTTACAGAAGGAGATAACAAGTAGATTAAAAGAGATCCTTGTATCTACCATGGGCATTTTGTGAAGATATGTGAAAGTAGTTTTACGGCATCAAGTTGACAAAAGGAAGTCCTTGTGTGATTAATAAGTAGCTGAGTTTTTGGAGAAGTGAATCAGGTGTTTTTGGTTAGTGCAGGAGGTTTGCAGAGACGTTAGGAAGGAGCCGAGGCGCCAAAAAGGAGAGATCACATCGTTGAGGAGACTGGACTTTTCTGGGTATGTTCCAACATACAACTCAATAAGAAAATAAGCTGTAAGTGTTTTGTACAATTGAAAATAATATCTGTGAAGGGTCTGTGTTGACATCGTGGTCATTCTTCTTCTTCCTATGCCGTCCCCATTAACGGAGGTTGGCGACCACATTTTTAAAAGCTTCTCTGTCTTTTGCAACGTGGAATAATTCGTCTACAGTCAT